TAAACCGTTCGCCTTGGGTCCCTGTGTTCAGGTAGCTTCTTGCTCCTATAGTAGCGATGCCCTTGTTGCTAGTAGCTTCTTGCTTCTATAGTAATGCCAGGAGCTACTAGCAGCTTCTTGCTCCTTGTAGCCATGCCCTTGTTCCTAGTAGCTTGTCGCCACTAGTGGTAGTGCCTGGAGCTACTAGCAGCTTCTTGCTCCTAGTAGCGATGCCCTTGTTCCTCGTGGCTTCTTGCTACTAGTAATGCCAACAGCTACTAGCTTCTTGCTCCTAGTAGCCTCTTGCTCCTAGTAGCGATGCCCTTGTTCCTAGTAGCTTCTTGCTACTAGTAGTAATGCTAGGATCTACTAATAGCTTCTTGCTCCTAGTAGCCATGCCCTTGTTCCTAGTAGCTTCTCGCTACTAGTAGTAGTGCCAGGAGCTACTAGTAGCTTCTTGCTCCTAGTAGCGATGCCCGTGTTCCTAGTAGCTTCTTGCCACTAGTAGTAATGCCAACAGCTACTAGTAGCTTCTTGCTACTAGTAGCGATGCCGTTGTTCCTAGTAGCTTCGTGTTACTAGTAGTATTGCCAGGAGCTACTAGTAGCTTCTTGCTCCTAGTAGCGATGCCCTTGTTCCCAGTAGCTTGTTGCTCCTAGTAGCGATGCCCTTGTTCCTAGTAGTTTCTTGCTACTAGTAGAATTGCCAGGAGCTACTAGTAGCTTCTTGGTCCTAGTAGCGATGCCCTTGTTCCTAGTAGCTTCTTGCTCCTAGTAGCTTCTTGCTACTAGTAGTAATGCCAGGAGCTACCAGGAGCTACTAGTAGCTTCTTGCTACCACTACTAGTAATGCCAGGAGCTCCTAGTAGCTTCTTGCTCCTAGTAGCGATGTCCCTGTTCCTAGTAGCTTCTTGCTACTAGTAGTAATGCCAGGAGCTACTAGTAGCTTCTTGCTACCACTACTGTAATGCCAGGAGCTCCTAGTAGCTTCTTGCTCCTAGTAGCGATGCCCCTGTTCCTAGTCTCTTCTTGCTACTAGTAGTAATGCCAGGAGCTCCTAGTAGCTTCTTGCTCCTAGTAGCGATGCCCTTGTTGCTAGTAGCTTCTTGCTACTAGTAGTACTACCAGGAGCTACTGGGAGCTTCTTGCTGGTAGAAAAATCATTGTTAGGCTGTTGTTTTGATGTCCTCGTCCTGCTCGATGCCATCGATGTCCATGTCCTTGCCCAGCTCTTTGGCCAGGGAGGCACGGACCTCATTCTCGAGCCTCAGACAACACATTGCGGCTCCCCTCTCATTGCGGCATTGTTCTTCCGAACGAAAATGGATAAGATAAAAATGACAAAACGAAAGACATGATTTATTTTTACTGTCTTCTTTTTTTAAAACTTAATTGTGTTTCTCATGTTTTCATATTTTCCAATTTCCAACAACTTTCAGGCAGAAAGCCCGCAAACACAAGTGGAAGCAAAGAGGAACATTTGAAGCAGCAAACAAAGCTGCCTCGCAAAACGCACCAAGACACACCGCTTGGCCGTTGCCATCCACATTGATTGCGCCCCCCTGACTGAATCCATTTCCTCTCTCTCTCTCTCTGCACATCTTTGTCAAGCGACGTGTCCTTCAAAGCGTCCATCACTTCCTCCCTCAAGTTCACCTTCAAATTCTCCCAGACCTTTCAATGTCAAGAACGGACAGCAACCTCATCCAAGCGACCTATGGGTTTGCTCCTAGTAGCTTTATTGTTACTAGTAGTGTCCTTGCTCCTAGTAGCGATGCCCTTGTTCCTAGTAGCTTCTTGCTACCAGTAGTAATGCCAAGAGCTACTAGTAGCTTCTTGCTCCTAGTAGCGATGCCCTTGTTCCTAGTAGTTTCTTGTTTCAATTCTAATTGCATTTCAATTAAATTTAGATAACTTTTAATTCTAATTCTGTTCAACTCTTGTTTCTGATTGCTTCTTGTTACTATAGTAGTATGGCCAGGAGCCCCTAGTAGCGTCCTTGCTCGTAGTAGCAATGCCCTTTGCTCCTAGTAGCAACCTCTTGTTGAAGGCAACTAGGATTTTTGAGCTTTTGCACTTTGCAGTTTCGTTCCAGGAGACTTTGGTGGGTGGCCAATGTTTGGAATGCGTAGATTGGAGACTATCTAGCCCATTGGGTTGCCTGTCCATTTTCCATTTGATGCATGGTTCCTGGGAGATTTTCATGAACATGGACACCAGTCGGTTGATGAACTCTCTAGATCTCAGGATGTTCTCCTTCGTTTGAAAACTCCTCCCGGGTCTTTCCAAAAACAACTCCATGAGATTCCATGAGTACCTAGTGTTTTCAAGGCATCCATGCAAGCTTCTACAAGAAATGACAAAAACAGCTTTGCAGAGAAATCCTTCAGTGGTACCACCCAAAGACAAGCGCTTTAGGATGTTCCCAAAATTCTTCCATACTCATCAGCACCGACCCAAGCGTAAAATTGATCGTCAAAGGTCTACTTGGCCACAAACCAAACAAGCTTCCTACCGACACCCCACACTGCCTGCCTTGTCTTCCAGCTCGTCGCCCAGATCACGATAGACCTTCTTCCGTAAAGCTTCGCATTGCAAAAGCTGCGAACGGCAGGAATTCATCTCCAACTCGAGACCTGCAAAGGGAGGCCGTTGCTGTTGGGGTGGCCATCGCTATTAGGTTGGAGATTAGGGTGGAGGCCATCGCTTTTAGGTTGGAGGCCATTGCCAATTAGTTTGGAGGTCATCGCTATTAGGATGGAGGCCATCCCTACTAGGGTGGAGGCAATCGCTATTAGGTTTGAGGCCATTGCTATTCAGGTGGAGGTCCTCGCTTTTGGGTTGGAGGCCATCGCTACTAGGGTGGAGGCCATCGCTATTAGGGTGGAG